TTCTGCTGCCGAACAAGACACTCACCTCCTCCTTAGTCAGTTTGTCAACCTCGATACCAAATGAATTGTCAGTTTTGGCAAGGAAGGTCTTGACGTCCTGGTAGGAGTGAGCCAACATCTCTTCCTGGGCGTCCTGCAACTTGATGGTCAGGTCTTTGTTTTCTGTCTTCAACCTGTTGATGATTTGCTGCAGTTCCGCTACTCGGGATACAGCGTCGAGGCTGGAGTGCGACATGGAGGATTGGCGAAGGTCGGCAGCCTGGTTTACCTCCTTCAGAGTCTGAATGCAAAGAGGAAGGAAAAAAACTTTACTTTGGAAGGCTAGTGGGCTTACTAAAAAGTCCGGCAAAAAGACAGAAGGGGGAAAATAAGTCTTTTTTTACGCGTTCGTCTTCCGTCTTAGTGAATGATGCTTAGTTTGGATGGACTACTTTAACGGTTTAGGTGGCAGATAAAACGCACTAGTGGACGGTGTTACAACGAACGTTTAATTATCCGATGACTCAAGTCCTATTCCCAACTATATAAGTTGACGATAAGGGAAGGCTAGACTACCGTGACCCATGACGGAAGCAGTTGATTCTAGTGGCGGCAGCGTGCAAGGAAAAGGCTGGTCTAGTAGATTCCACGAAACAGTACGACTCATGTACTGCGACTGCAAACCGCACCAGTAACAGTCGTAATCCCGTTGATTTCGCAGGTCCGAGCACTGGCGCAGTGAGGCATAGCATGACTTTGGTTTTCCCAGGGAGGGAAGGAGAGAACACATTCTGTGCGAGCTGTATTGGGTCGGCATAACACCGAGCACAAAGGTCACTTGAGACTAGGGAGGGGTGGGGGGGGTGCGAACTGCAGCCCATGGAACACCATTAAGTAGCAATTTAGGTTTGTCGGGGTTAAAATGTAAGCGACATTTGAAGAAGGATAACGCCTACGCGATAGACAGAGCCGCTGGTAGAGGGAGAGTTGGTCTACTCTCTCACCTCCCCATCAGTGCGCACCTGGGACGGCCGAAAATAGACAACCACGCAAGGCTTCATGCGGTGACGCCGACTTAGGCTGTAGTGGTTGCGCGGCTGATGGGGCTGAAAGAAGGGCAGCAGAAAAGAACAGCGGTAGAGTACCACACCCACTGGAACAGCTTTTCAGGCCGGTTGTAGGTGAAGCCAGAACGACGAATACGGTCGGCAGTTCGAACCCAACCGCAACTCCATTGTTTTGGAGACGACGATAACAACAACAACAAATACAGTAGTGATTTAGAAAGGATGGAATATAGGTCTGATGGAGGTGTTACACACGCGCGCACACACGGCATAAGCCGTCCGTTCTTGGCTTTTTGGTCAGACTCTGGAAATCAGAGTTCCAAAGATAAAACAGGCAATGTTAATATCGTAGCCACGGGGATGTATCAACAGAGACAGCTCACTGGAGAGCATCCAAACACATCGGTTGCGGTGAACATCGATGTAGATATCCTGCGCTAGTAAGCAAGTAAGTAAGTGGCATAGCGCAAGTACCTTTAAAAGTAGAATTGATGAATAAAGTAAGGAGAGAGCAAACTACAGTATTAGCCGAAATGAGAGCAGTACGATTATACAGTATCAGGTATGTACAGCAGGACAGTCTAAGTCAATGCAACAGGAATAGGGCAATTTCAGTGGTGCTGGCGGTATTAGTGTTATTAGTGAAACCAGCAAATCCGCGCTCTCCTTGCGTTCTACCCTTTCAACTCTATCCACCAGACTGTATCCTCTTATTGGTTAATTAACAGTTATTAAGAAATATCTGCAGTATTACCATGTCTTTGTGTCACAT